AGTTATATCTATTAAGAAGAAAGAATTTCTTTAGTCTGACTTTGTGCTTATTCTGTCAAAGTGAAGGCCGTTCACACATACTTGTTACATCTGAGCAGATTATATTGCTAGTGGCTGTGACATTCGTTAGTAAACTGAAGCAACCTAGGTTTAAACAGTTTTCGTGGTTGACTTTGAAGAATGACAATTTTTTTGCTTTATCTAACACACCGATGTTACCCATTTATTGGGCCCAGTCCACACTCTGTGGCCCTCCCTTATATGACTTTTCTGGTCATCACTGAGCCAAGAATAGTACTAGTAGTATTAGTTCAATGGGACAATAAGTTGTATAGAGTAGGGATTTTCATTCTGTGGTTAACGGGAAATTACATGTAATGTGGTCCTTAGCAAAGAGCACCGAGCAAGGCATTCCTCTTCTCCATGGCAGCAGCAGAGCAGGGGTGAGCTAGGGAAAAATTAAAAAAAAAAAAAAAAAATTTAGAAAATGACCACATAGCAGGGCGAGGTGTCTTGCACCTGTAATCCCAACTACTCGGGAGGCTGAGGTGGGAGGATCACTTGAGGCTGTGAGTTTGAGACCAGCCTGGTCAACATAATGAAAAGGTCTCTTCAAATGAAATGAAAATGACAACACAGAGATAGAAAAAATTAAATTGGGCCATTGATCTTAACATAAAACACGTTCAAGTGGTCAAATGTGCATCTCGAAAGAACAACACTGGAAATACAGACTGATAAACTGCTTTATCCCTGGAAGTGTTCTGCAAGGAGTCATTCTCTGGTGGTGGCTGGAGCAACGGCTCTGGGCGGTCACTGCAGTCTTGGGAAAGCTGCTCCCTTCCTCCTGCAGGACCTCGGCCGTGGGTGGCTGCCTGTGCATTGCTGCATTTTGTTTAACATGGCCACTTGCTTTTGACATTTTGATATTATCTTGAAACTTTGAAATAATGCTCAGACTGTTAATTCACATTTCAGGGAAATGTAAATATTAGAGATAAATACATACGTGAGCTTTTAAAAAGGATTTTTAGCCTGCATTGCTTTGTCGCACTGTGATGTTGGTGTGACCCTCGGTATTGGGTTTTTTCCAGAGCTTGCGATGGCAACTGCTAACCCCTACCTTTAAAGGGATCAGCGGATTGTTATTGAAACAACATCTGGTTCAGAATCCAGTCATACTCTGGCAACTGTTAGGTATGTATCTATTGAAAGACAGAAGTAATAAGGCAGAAGTTGTTTTCTTTATCTGACAAGCAGGGCCTGTGGCATTTGTGGGTATATATATTAGGATAATGTTAGTTGATGTTGACAGAAAAACTGCTAAGAAAAATCACTAAGAAATAATATTTTGGGCTTCTGTTTATTAGGAGCCCTGATAAGACCCACGGTCCTTGGGTAATCTGATACGAAGTTTACAGAAAGGAAGTTGTTTAAAGTCTGAACAGGTTATTTTTGCTTATTTTGGTTTGAGTTGTCCTCCGCCCTCCCCCGCCCAATTCTGGGGTATAGCAATAATTGGGCTGCTTGAGGAAGGATTTTCATGGTATGTAGCTGGCTCCTACAATGTTTAGTAAGAAGTGGCTTCAAATGTTTCACATCCAGGCTGGGTGTGGTGGCTCATGCCTGTAATCCCAGCACTTTGGGAGGCTGAGGCGGGAGGACTGCTTGAGGTCGGGAGTTTGAGACCAGCCTGAGCAGGAGGGAGACCCATCTCTATTAAAAATAGGCAAATTAACCAGGCATGGTGGTACACGCCTGTAGTCCCAGCTGCTTGGGAGGCTGAGGTGAGAGGATGGCTTGAGGCCAGGAGTTTGAGGACAGTGTGAGCTGTGATCACACCACTGCACTCCAGCCTGGGCAATAGAGCAAGACTCTGTCTCCAAAAAAAAAAAAAAAATTTTTTTTCTATCCAGAATGTAACTATTAAATAAAAATACCCTACTCTACAAATAATTGGCTCTTCAGTAGAGTTTTACCATTTAATGAAACACTGTGAAATTCTTCCATCTCTCTTGACCTCAGGTTAAAAGATGTTCAGGATGTACACCTGTAATCTTCCTCCCCTATTTATCTGATTGGAATAGGGAAAAAGTGACACAGTTCTACTAGTTTACATTAATCATCCTGGTGCCTGCAGGTGGGTAGGGAAGCACTGCGCTGTGCCTGCCCGGGGGCGGTGAATTAGTGTCTTGCACCTGTGCTGTCTCACGTGGAACTACTCGTCTTGCCAGCGGCTCTGAAACAGCGCACGCCTCGGCCCTCTGGAATGCCCGATGGTGTGTTCCGGTGGCAACCAAGGGGGTTTCATTGGTGATTCTGTTAATGTCTTTGTGAAGACAGTTACAGTTCAACGCATGGTTGTGAGACTTTTCCCCCATTTTTCAATGCTGATGTGTTCGGATTTTGTGATTTTATTATTTTA